CATCAGAAAACCTGCACCATCATCTGATACCCGCTGCCACAGGAATGTGCTGTGGAAAGCCGAAGGTCCCAGTTCCTTGGAGCGACATAATGAAGGGACAGTCCAGATTCATCTCCAGTACATACCTGCCAGATGGTACACAGATCATGGAGCCTTCCAAAATGCACCAGGACTGAAGCCATCTCTTTGTTGGAATGTTGGTTGGACCGACAGGACAACCAAGTCGGCCCAACATTCCAGTTCAAGGCTTGGATTGATGACAAGGGCAAGATGCACCCACTGGTCGGCAAAGAGTCTGATGACTCTGATGGTGATGCCGACAATGAGGCTGTGCAGCCCATGCCGACCAAAAAGTCACGGACCACGGTTGCACTGTCACTGCCCGGACATCCCAAAGGTCGACCGAGATCCATCAAACAGGCTTACATCAGTTCTACCTGATGAAGAATCTAGCAATGCCAATGCAGAACTCAGCAATCAATTCGGACGCCAGTCGGAGTCGGATGACCGACCACCGCCAATGAGCTTGGTGAAGAGCGTCAGAGTTGAGCCTGCCACCATCTTACCCCAGGACAGACCCGGCACATAAAGACCGACCGATTGTAGATCCGGCGACCGAGGGATCAGAAGATGAAGATTGCGGCGGCAGTGCGACAAACACTGGATATCATTCTCCTGGAGTTCATCATGCTGGACAGCATGCCCATGGTTTTGGCCCACATTCTACTCGTCGGGGTCTGGAACACATTCAGGCACCCCCAGCAGCAAAGGTCCGGGCGTCAAACAAGACTAGGGCTACCGGGGATGCATCACTGTCAGTCAAAGCCCGGTTGCCGAGGAAGACAGGGGCTACCGCAGATGCTTCACCGGCAGCACAAGACCAGTCACTGAAGAAGACTAGGGTTACCCGATCAGCAGCATACCCACTCTCTGATGCACCAGCAAAGCGCACCAGAAGTAAGGTTGATGACTCGCTAGGCACCAGACCTCAGCAAAAGCCCAAGAGATATGCCGACTATGTATAGTTGTCGGCAGTCTCATGCAGTTCATTGGCCAACTGCTCACAGTATGACTGGCTTCGGTATATATCACTTGACTGATATTTGTGTATAGCTTTCTCCTCGGCCATGAATGATCTCGCTATATTCATCTCATTTGTTCAATGATCTCGGTATATACATGTCATTTATTAACAACCTCTGGTATCAGTACTCGGTCTTACAGTGGCTCAAAAAACTGTCCGCATGTTTTCACATTTTTCACTATCTATGATATTGTGTGAGAATATACAAACACATCAAGGACATGCTGGTACCACATTGTAGTACTACCTCAGGGCTTCCAATTGAGCCCTATTGCGTGGGAATCGGTCGAGATATGGTGGAGATATAAGGCTTACAAAATGATGACTCATGTGGACAGTTTTTTGACTCAAGTATTTTACAGTGACAATCAGGTATTCCAGTACATTGTGTGACCTCCCTTGGCTTTAATTACTACCTCTATCCTTCTAGGCATACTCTCAATCAATTTCTGGCAATATTCTGCTGTAATCCTTGCCCATTCCACTGCTACACTCTCCCATAGCTCCTATACTCCTTTAGAGGGGGTTTCATAGGCTTGAAGCTTCTTCTTGAGTATTCCCCAGAGATGTTCAATGACATTGACATCAGGGGACTGTGCTGGCCAGTCAAGAACATTGATAATATGTTCTTTAAACCATTGTCTGGCTCTCCTAGATGTGTGCTTGGGATCATTATCCTGTTGGGAAATAATGTCTTTTTCATCAATCCCTGATTCAGCTATGCTAGGCAGCAAGTGGTTGTTTAGAATGTCCACATACTGCTCAGCATCCATCCTCCCCTCAACTTCAGCAAGCATACCCACACCATTCCATCCCATACAGCCCCATACCATTAGAGAACCTCCTCCAAATTTGACCGTCTCACTAACCTCTCTGTCTGTTAAAAAATCCCTCTTCATTTTCCATACATATACCTTCCCATCTGACCCAATCCTATTGATTTTGGTCTCATCTGACCATATAACATGCTTCCAATCCTCTACAGTCCAGTTTTGATGGGCCAAGCCAAAGGTAGTCTTCTCTGCCTATGTTTGATAGAGAGAAGAGGCATTTCTTCTTTGTTACTGCCTTGAGATGAGCTGCCTTGAGAACACTCCTCACAGTTTGTGAAAAGACAGTGGTGGTGATGGTGGAATTGATATAATGGGTGGCTTGGACAGCATTATTAGCCTTTCCTGTAGTGATATGTTGAATGATAGCCCTCTTATTAGCAGAGGTGGATGTCCTCCACAAGAGTTTTCCTTGTCCAGGTGGCTTTCTTTGATACACATGGCCACAGTAGACTTGCATACTTCAGTTCTAGAGGAAATTTAATGAGCAGAGAGGCCAGCACAGGACAAAGAGAGGATATTATCCCTTTAAGCAGAGGAGATGGCTTTCATGGTGATTATGACCATGACACATGACACATTCTGGTTTATATAGTTAGATATAGTTTTAAGAGTATGCCTAGAAGGATAGAGGCAGTAATTAAAGCCAAGGGAGGTCACAAAATGTACTGGAATACCTGATTGTCACTGTAAAATACTTGAGTCAAAAAACTGTCCACATGAGTCATCATTTTGTAAGCCTTATATCTCCACCATATCTCGACCGATTCCCACGCAATAGGGCTCAATTGGAAGCCCTGAGGTAGTACTACAATGTGGTACCAGCATGTCCTTGATGTGTTTGTATATTCTCACACAATATCATAGATAGTGAAAAATGTGAAAACATGCGGACAGTTTTTTGAGCCACTGTATATACTACTGGAACGGGGAATTGTTAAGACCGTGCTCAGGGGTAAAGCGGAGTCTGAGGGGCTTGGCTTCAGCTCGTACACTGCGCCCCTTACCTGAGTACATGCCCCTAATTTCGGGGTGTAGTCTGACACGAGTTCTAGGAGTTCCGACAGGACATCGGAACGGGGGTCCTCTGAAGGAGGACCAACAGACTACTAGGTGAGCACGGGAAAGTCGGGCGGGGGTTGTTCCGCCCGACAGGAGGGAAGTGGGAGACTACTGCGGTTGGAACCAACAGTAGTAGTGGAGCGGAGGGAACTGCTTGGATGAAGTCCAAAGCAGAGCGGAACAGAGGGGGGTCGATGCGAGAGTGCGGGGTTTAGTTCTGATGCACGGGAAGTCAGACGAGCGGAGGAATGGGGGAATGGGGGAACAGAGGATCAGAGGAATGTAGGAACAACGGAACAACGGAACAACGGAACAACGGAACAACGGAACAACGGAACAACGGAACAACAGAACAACGGAACAACGGAACAACGGAACAACGGAACGGAGGAACGATGGAACGGAGGAATGTAGGAATGGGGGGAACGATGGAACAGCGGAACCAGCGGGACGGAGGAACGGGGAAGTGGGGAAGCAGAGGATCAGAGGACAGCCGACCTAGGGAGTCAATCCCCTAGGCCGGGAAACAGGAGTTTGACTTGGGATAAGCTTTAAGTCAAAGGGCAGAAGAGCAGGGCTTAGAAAAGGTAATATTCAGACTGAGTATCTACAGACAAATGTATATATGTTTATATACTCTAAGTGATGAGCATAGCATAGCAGAGGGCTATGTGCTGAGTGTACAGGATTACAATAGGATGACTGAGACATACGAGAATAAGGCTCAGGGAACAGTATGTATGCGACGGATCAGAATCGCTAGGGTATAGGGATTACTGGTGATCCGAAAAGCGGAGCTATGATACTAAACGGGGATAGGACCAGTTGAGTGGTTCCTAGTCTAGGAGTGGACTGGTGAGGCGGTCGGATGGACTAACAGTCGGGTGGGGGGAGTACGAGCGGAACTGAAGGACCCCCGTGGGTCGGAAAAGCGGAGGGAGTAGGAGTAGGATCGGGCGGACCGATAGGGCAGAGGAGCGGAACCCCAGATAGGGTCGGATGGAAGGGGTATGGGGTTGGGGGACATAGGGGTAGTGTCAGAAAAGCGGAACGGGGTCGGGCGGAGGTAGCAGGGCTAATCCTGCTGAGATGCACTTCATGCATTGTTGGGGAGGAGGAATGGAGCGGATGGGGAAACAGGGGGTCGGACCAGCAGTAGGGATGCTTATAGGTGGTACTGGGGGTACTCGGATCCGGTATATGACAGGAATGTCCCCTGCCCATTTTCCTCATTGCCAGCAGCAACACATGCAGCAGATCATCAATCTGGCGCTGCATGTTCATCAGATGCTGCATCCTGACAACATCTTCGCTGGCTTCAATCAATCGGTCGCGTGCATCCCGATATGCCGATATCAAATCCTGGTTGGCATGCGTGATATCTCGGGGAGACGCGACACCATTGATGGCTGAGGTGTGTCCTAGGTCATCTCCTGTCGAGTGCAAGTCAATGTGATGCCAGTGAGGATGAGGTGAAATATGAATGTACTCGTTAAAGCGTCAATGCTTTCCAGCCTCAGAGTCACTCGGCACAGCAAATCCTCGGTGGTTTCAAACATCTCACTCGGCAAGCCGTCTCTCGGTACTACAGATGTATCTGGCAAGCCACGGCCAAAGTCCATGTCGTAGAGAGCCTGAGTGCCAGTGGAGTGACTCTCAGGCGACTGCTGTGTGTTAGCAGCTGCACCAGACTGTCAGTATCGGCAACTCAAAAAAGGATTTCTGACCAACCTGAGTTGACCGAGTTGATCGCCGGTGCGGTGGTCCCACCGGTGCAAAGGTCATCACCTCTGCCCGATGGCGAATCTCCCCAGCACATGTCAAAATTGGCTGAGAAATAGTCAGTCTGGAATGGCAATGTGCATGACCAATACTCACCTTCATAACCCACTGCTGATGCAGATGGCCGGCCCTCCCAACACATATCATATTGACCGGCCACCGATGGTATGGCGACATCCATGGTCGGAGTCTCGATAGTCGCCAGCTCCACTATCGGCGGCAAGTCGACCTTTGATGGGTCCGGTTCATCGTCCCAACAAAGATTGTACTGACCTGCGGCAGCAGGTCTCACTGCATCCTCGCTCACGATCAGCACTGGATCAACCTCGGTGTCCCAGCACATGTCAAATGCTGGCCAATGGATCAACAATGGGGAATCATACAGCGATATGCGACTTACTTTGACCTCCAAAGTGTTCACTGGCCGATGATGTTGCAGTCGGCGTCTCCACGGTCGGTGGGTTGTCGGCTTCATTGCTCCAGCACATGTCAAAGACTGACATGTGGTCAACAATTAGCAAAGATCAATTGAATAGGGGACTTACTTTCATGGCCAAAATATTTCTTGGAAAGTGCGTCTGCACGATCTGGTCGTGTTTGCATGACTGAGGACAGATTTTTCTTTGGTTGAATTGTGTGGGATTTAGTTGGTCATTTAGGTCAAATGCGAAATTTGCTGAGACCAACAGGAATCACGTCTTTTTGAGGGGATGGAGTTGGCCACAACTTCGGTGGCACCCACTGATCCCACATGACAAAGAAATTCCGGTCGGCTTTGATGCGCTCGTCTTGTAACCGCTGAGCTTTGTCAATTGGATGCTCGTGGGAATCCATGGTGCTGGCAATGGACTTCGCAAATTTTGTGCTGCCAGTTGGTATTGTTCGGTGTGATTAGAAGTGTGTTTGGTGTGATTCGAAGTGTGGACCCATCTCGGCAGGTCCCGGCAGCATCACATTTTGCTGACAACACGAGCGCAATTTGTGGACTTCATTTTTGTGAAGTCAAATCTACATCTACACACTGTCGTTCCCGATATAACAGAGTCAACACTCATCCTATCTTCTACATTTTCACTATTACATCTCTACAATGTCTTCAACACTTGAATCAAACCATGCTTTGGTGGTCGCCAACAAATCTTTGCGCCGTGCACTCCGCCGGATTAAAATTCATGAAGCAGATGGCAGCATGGTCATTGACCAAGCTCATGCAATCGCCCGGCTAGTGGTAAGTTTCTGATTCCCAATGTTCTCATTTGCTCACCGACCCTTCACAGTCCACTGCCCTTCAGCAGCATGACAGAAATGCCTTGGTCATCTCGCCGTTGTTGCTGTCTGCTGTGGCCGAGGTCAGATCGACCATGAATCAAGGCATCGCCCCACAGTGGGCCCAGGTGCGGGATAAAGATGCTCAGATGGAGTCCCACCCTTTCTTCTCAAAGACCGTCGGATATGGTAAGTCGGCGGTTGTTCTCTCTATCTTCACAGCTCAACGTCTTGACAGTGGCAGGAGGCACACCTGAACCTGCACCTCAAGTCACGCCAGCGCCAGCTCCAGCTCCAGCCCCAGCCCCAGCCCCAGCACCAATGTCGGTCCCTCCGATCGAATTGCTCCCTACCGCTGGGCACCAGCACAATCTTCTTGTGCCTAGCACGATGACCGGCAAGGGCAAACAGCCTGCCCACGGGACTCAGAGATCCTGAGAGGACAGCCCAAGCGCTGAGACAGGCCGGAAGAAGCGCAAGGTCTCAAGGCCCTTGTCCAAAGCCTTGGTCTCCGACACCGAGGATGAGGACGGTCAGCCAGGAGGCACCATTGTGGTTGCAAAGCTGGCCGGTCCGCTGAAGCACAAGGTAAGCACTTCGGTGAATCCAATATCAACACCATCGCTGACTCATGGACAGGGCGTGACCAAAGGCGTCAAGAAGGTGAGATTTAGCTTTGCCCACCAGCAATCACCTCTCAACAATTATCAGACGCATGCCGAGGACACCATTGGTCGCACGCCGGCAAAGGGCAAAGGAAAGGAGAAGGCCAAGGAAGTTGCCAAGCCCATTAGAGGGCAGCCACTAGCCAAGGCCGATGCTGGGGCCAAGACTGTGAGTTTTTATCTCTGCTCGGTCACCTACATCAGGAAAAACTATATCTCTATATAGAGGACCATCCTCTATATAGCCCCAATAGCACACCACAGCTCTATACAGTCTATGGCAAGCTATCACAGCACTATAGACCAGTATAGACATCATGAAAGTCTATATATTACCATAAAGTTTGGTAAGTGTATTTAGAAGTAAAACATTTCAACAACTATAGACCCCAGTAGACCGTGGGAACTTTTTTCGATGAAAACCAAAGTTGTAGTCCTTGTCTAGGGAAGTCTATCCATAGTCTTATGACTTCAATAGGTTAAGATCCTAGTGAGTTATAAGGAAAATACTCGAAATTGAAGGGTTCAAGAAAGCAACTTGACCATGGGAACTTTTTTCGATTTAATCAAAGTTGTAGTCCTTGTCAAGGGAAGTCTATCCATAGTCTAATGACTTCAATAGGTCAAGATCTTAGTGAGTTATAAGGAAAATACTTGGAATTGAAGGGTTCAAAAGTGTTAAGGTACACCTTATTTATGTAAGCAAAAATGCGAAAATTCACCTTATGTGTATTCAAAATCCTAATGCTAACAGTCAATTTCATTGTCTTTTTCTTACTGTCATAATCCTAGTCCTATTAACCAAAAACTCGAAAATTCACCAAGTCTTGTGTTGTGGCTTTGTTTGGCACTGCTTATGTAAGCAAAAATGCGGTCAACCAACAAGTCTTTTCCCATTCTTTCCTTCCCCCCCCACTGCCCCCTCATTAGATTATCTTCCATATTTTTCTTACAATTTTCGAGTTTTTGCCTCTCTTCTCTTCTTCTTGCTTCTCTATCCTTCTCTTGGTGTTGATGTTGTTGGTGCTGGTACTGGTGCTGGTGCTTTGAACTCTGGTAAGTCTCCCTCCATAATTTTCGCATTTTCGCATTTTTGACTATTTGACTAATCTTTTTTCTAACCCTCTCCTTCTAGCTCTCTTCCCTCCTGCTCCTCCTCCCCCCAACTATTTTCGCATTTTTGACCATTTGGCAAGTCTTTTCTCTGACTCTCACTTCCTCCTGTCTGATCCTCTCCTTCTAGCTCCCTTCCCTCCTCTTCCCTCAAGAATTTTCGCAATTTTCACTATTTGGTAAGTCTTTCTTTTTTTTGTATTCATCTTTCCTCTCTGATTCTTCCTTCTAGTTCTCTTGCCTCTTCCTCCTGTAATTTTCGCATTTTTGCCTGTTTTGTAGTTATTAGTTTACATGTATTGTAGTAGTTGAAATATAATTTGGAATTTTCGCTTTTTTTTAATTTTGAGAACACTATCATGGCAACAAACAGCTATTAAGAGAAATTTTTGCTTTGTGTTTTGAGCTATAATAGCTACAATAGTTGTGGTATGTTCCACCCAGCTATAGCAACTTTAATAGAGCTATATAGCACTATACACTGGTGTAGTAAGCCTGCACAATTGGGCACTTGGCTATACGAGCTATAGGGCTATGGAGTCTGTATAGCAGTCTATAGCGCTATGGGTGGCTATATAGCCTTACCACATTTTCCTGATGTAGTACTCACGGTGTGATAGTATGATCCACCTTGCAAGAGGTGTGTCGACGAGCCTTGCCTTGTCATCATCGGCAAGAAAGGGCAGGTCATGAGGTCCTGTGCCAAATGCAGCCTCATGAAGGTGAAGTGCGACCAACCAATGTCGGTCGATTCCGACACTCCTGCGCTGATGGCACACCTGAGGACCAGGGCTGCACCGGCCTCCAAGAAGGTTCCCCTGACGGCGACCCTGAGGTCCAAGTCCAATGTTCCGCTCAGGAGAACCAGAGCAACCTCACGGGCACGTCCACCGACTCCCATCTTGGAGTCTGAAGAGGAAGCTGTCAAGGCTACCGTTAAGCAATCATTTTTTTTATGACAATCTCCTCTAACCTTTGCTTCTAGATGTGTCCATCACAGGTGATGATGACGCTGACATGGAGCCCGCTGCCGATGCCCCGGCTGAGCCCGCAGCGGACGACAAGATCGTTGTCGATGAGCCTCGGGCAATCGCATCTGCGGATGACTTCTCCACTGATCATTGGGTGGAGCCCAACTCCAATGACTTCATCATTCCAATGGCAGCTCCTCCGGCCGGAGATGTTTCCATCCCTTCGGCATCTCTCCCACCAACCGTCAGCGTCATCCACGAATGTGTGGTTTCCCTGGCTGCTAAGGTCACTGCCATGCAACTCACCGACCAGAATACCCTTGCCAGGGTCGATGCAGTGCAGCAGGACTGCAAAACCCAGATCTCCTCGATGCATGCAGAGCTTTCCTCCATGCAGTTCGATCTTGGCACCACTGTCAGCCTCGTCAATAGCCTGACCAGCCTGGTGGAGAAGCTTCAGGAGGCACAGACCGTTGCCAACCCATCCTTCCCACCACCGATGATGAGCAACTTCGGTGCTACCTCAGCCACCCCACAGATGCAAGTGATGGGCATCAGGTACTTGAACGGTGTGTACAGCCCTTCGGTTGCTACCTCGGCATCTGCTGCAGGCCCTTCGGCGTCTCGCCCTTTTGGTCGCCTTGACATGCATGGCAACACATTCACATCTGGCCAAGCGTCCTCGGTGTCAGCACATGCTGGTCCTTCATCCGCTCCTGCTGTAGTTGGACCCCATTCTGCTTGAACATCACCTGCTTCGGCCGCAAAGTCTCTCCCCTGATCATTCGGCTCAATACACAGTTGTACATAGAGCATGCATCCGTCAGCAGAATTACCCTGGTATATCACAGACTTGTATTACTTACTTTCAAATGCAATTGTTTGGGTGTTGATTCCATGTATATTCACTCTCTTTCCTGTGATATAAGTACCGACAGCATGTCAGCAGAGTGTATCTCAGTCATGTGTTGCAGTTGGCACAGTATCCTTCAGTTTCTTGTCTTTTCAGAATTGACCGATTTATACTCCATATGACCGATCGCCCGATCTCGGTTGCCGCATCACGCATGCCGATGAGATTCCACGCAACTGAAAATTCACCAACTCGTACAATTCACCGATATCTTCTTGCCATCGTCTTCAGCTCAGCAGTCCTCCCCTCCTCGCACCGCCACTTCCACAAACAGAGCCAACAGCAACCATTCTGGCACTCCTACGCCAGATGGCCACTCGGTCAGGCTGATCACCGCCATAACTCTCAATGGCACAGCACATTGACCGACAGACGTGCAGATGTCACCTCCTGCGGAACCTCCCCAGTCCAATCAGACTGGCTCACCAATGCGTCTCAAGGCTGAGTCTCAGCACGTTCCAGTATCTGTCCCACTCAGTAGTTACCACATCCCTATGAACGGCTATGCCACCCTGCCTAATGGCACCGTCATGCAGGTGCCGCGACCCCCGAATGGCTTCATGCAGCAATGTCTTCTGACAGAGTCATATTTGACCGAGTCGTATTTACCTGAGTGTCTCTTGACCAAGTGTCTTTTGACCAAATCATATTTGACCGAGTCGTATTTACCCAAGTGTCTTTTGACCGAGTCATATTTGACTGAGTCGTATTTACCCAAGTGTCTTTTGACCAAGTCGTATTTACCCGAGTGTCTTTTGACCGTGTCATATTTAACCGAGGTGCTCTTAGCATGTATCTTATGCATCGGATCCTGGTAGATCCCTCATCCATCATATTTGACCGGGGTGGTCTTGGCATTTATATTATTGATCGATTCCTGGTAATCCCTCATCCATCATATTTGAC